CAGTGAGCAAGGAGTTCCGGGTTTCAGTCCCAGTATCTACCGCTTAAATTACATGAGACATTCCAGCGCGGTTTCCTTGTCAGTGGTGCTAGATGGAATTGGAAATAAGTGTAGGCCCCTGTGCCGCTGTTCCGGCAAAATTCCCCTCATAGCACACTGTATCCAGTCCGTCCGTCTTCATAGGCCAAGTCGGTGCAAAAAAGTAGCACGTTACACCCATAGCATTTCCTTATTTTTTTTTATAGTTTTAAAGTGTCGGAATATTCCAGTACATTCAGAAAAACCATACTTACAGTGAGTAAGTTAATTTTGTTAGATGACGGCCTAGCAACTCGATTCAAAATGTAATAACAAACCAAGTATTTAAGGGTGTTATATCATTTTATATTTTTGTGAAGATAAATATATATGTTTACGACAGACGCCAAAATAGACGTCCATTGTTTTAGATACTATCATAGCTTAAAGTCTATCTTCTGTGGTAACCCGGAGACAAAATACCTCCCCAGATAATTCATGTTTACGCCTTGTCATTTTTTTTTGTTGTAAATATTTCAGTTAGTATTGTGATCATTTTATTGTCAGGGAGTTTCTGTTGTTGATTATCAAATTTATAATAGTCATTATTTGCTTACAATAGACAATAATACATGGTATCATGCACCATTTTCTGATTGATTACATAAAAGAATAAAAAACGCCTACCATTTTCTAGTTGATTACACATAAGAATAATAAATGAATACATTATGTTTTGGTTGGTTACATTATAAGAATAAAAATGCCCATTATTACATCAATATGGTACATCAATATAATTTTATAAATTAAGGTTAGTTTCCAATTAATCAGTGATAAAGCCATTGATGGTCATTTGCATTTTTCAGAAAATATCTATTTTTCACAAATTAATCCACGCTAGGACGTACTCAAATTGTTTATTTAATTGTAAAATAAAAATATCAACACTATTGGCTTCAGTTGGAATAAAAAAGAGACCCATCTAAGTTTTCGCAAAGACTGTTGTTGAGATATACTTGTTTTTAGCTACGATTGGGTGCCTTTAGTTAAAAGCGGCATACTCAATTTCTTTATTAACATCTTAAAACTAAGATAATTTTATACTATTATGACTAATTATACCTGCAGAGGCCCACGTAGTGGCACAACTATCCAAATATTCCCGTTTAAATTAACGAAGCGTTGTTTTTATCCGACATACACCGTCATACATCTCCCGTTTAAAAATACCGCATACAATGGAAAAACGACTTTGTTTGAAGCAGGACGAAATGCACAGTGTATACTTTCTATTGGACATTAGTATAGCACCATCTCTCATCTTGAAACACGGCGGATGGATCACGGTGGCTAAGTGGGTAAGGCGCTGGCTCGCTAGCCTGGAGGTCGGGTTTTCGATCCCTGCATTGGCCGAGAAAGTTCATCCAGATTTCCCCGCGTGGTTCCCTCTTGTCAGTGATGCAGGACAGCAGGACAAGGACAGCTGTCTAGTCATTCGGATGAGACGAAAAACCGAGGTCTCGTGTGCACGTAAAAGATCCCTTGACAGTTGGAATTCGATATAAGAGTAGGCCGTAGTGCCGCTGTCCGGGCAAAATTTCCCTCATATCACACTGTATGGCGTATGCCCGTCTTCATAAGCCCAGTTCGGAGCAAAACAGTAGGACGTTAAACCCCATTTCATTTCATTTCATTTCATTTCATTTTGAAACACGGCGGGTTGAGAGATGAGGTTTGTTATCTATTTGTTGGTCCTTGGCTTGCATTGATGCCTGGTGATGATAATTTCCAATTCATCATATCTTTTTAAATACTGAACGGAAATGAAGCATTTTTGAATTGATATTTTTCTTCAGAGATCAAAATTTCACCATGACGACAAGAGACTTTAATTGTTTAATACAACATGTATTCCTTTATCAAATAAAACTTAAAATGAAATGAGTATGCTTATTATTTTGAGAACATCTTGTGCCACTTTTATTTTATTGGCGTACTGATAATATGTGTCATACTTATTGATTTCTTTACAATCATGTACACAGTACTTTAACGACTTTTACTCAAACTGGTTCGCATGATGTGAAATCCTTGCGGTTCAAATTGCATCGGATGTAAAATTAACTACATTAGCGTGTGTCAACTTACCAATTCATCAAAAACGACGTAAATTCAAGTCTATAAAGGGCCACAAAACTACGTAAGAACATGAACTTCTTGAGGGGTCACCGAGCCTATGATACTTACGCTCTCCTTCTCAGTCCATCCCTGGTCTTCGGTAACTATCCCAGTCCCCCCCCCCACACACACACCATCCCTCCCCAAATCCTCTGTTCCCCAATAGAGCATATTGTTCGCATTTAAGAGAGGTCAAAATGACCCTGGCACAAAAATGGCATTATGATCTGGGATATTTTCTATCTGTAGTCAATCAATAAGAGATGTTGATAGCCTTGTAATGTTTACAAATTGTTGTGAGTACCAATTCACGACACACTGTAAACAACAAAACAAAAGAGGCTTTTCAGATTATTTCTTCATAAAACAAACTATAAATACAAAGAAAACATAGGTGTTTTAGCATATTTGTGTATGGTATCGTTTTGACGTGCTTTTATATACTGGTAGTTTTCTTCCCCAATATCATGTTACGATTTGTTCATACAAAGTAAATAATTTTACTATAGTATTTGTTTTAGAAACAGACCATTATCCATATAATGTGTATATATTACCCCGTCTCTGTTTAAATAATAAAACTCCATTTCCCTTCTATGTTCAGCTCTTATAACATCGGATAGTAACCTCCATTTCCCTTCGATGTTCTATTCTTATAACATCGGGTAGTAACCCCCCATTTATTAAGTGCAAATAATCTCATGTTTTCATCTATAGAAAGTGAGTGTTTGACTCACTTCATACTTAAGCAAAATTAAAAGACGGTTTGGCCCCTCAAAGATTGTTTAGTGATTTGTCCAGATGTAATCCCAACACCGAGAGAATTATTTAGCCCTAAATGGCCCACATGACGTACGAGATAAATTCAAACAAGCTGGAAACTACCGGAATATATTGAGGAATGTCGAGTGAATGTCGAACGATTGATTAAATTCCGAATGCCAGCGCAAATGAAAAATCAGTGGAATGACGTGATTAGGCTAAAACAAAATATGTCAAATCAATAAGGTTGATAACTCACATAACATAAGGGTAATAATTATAACAATTTTGTAAAGGATATGGATAGGTTTTAATGATGCCTAGTTCCATTCCTTACTGTACTGTTAATTAACGAATGGCGGTTACTTTGGTAATCATTAGCATATTAAGGACTATATAATATACTATTCAAAAAAAGTAGGGGATATTTGATTTTTAAGTGTTATTAAAGTCACCTAATGAAACTGACGAAGAAACAAATGACAAAATGAAATGAAGTTCACATTCATCGATTTATTCCAAATGATCGTTAGACTAAGTAAGGCACAGACTGACCATTATAAGGGTAAAATGATACCCGGGGTCAAACAGCAAAGTTACCACAGCATCACAACCAAGTCAGTAACGGGTAAATCCTCCTCTATTTGCCAAACAAGCATTGATCCGACGTGGCATACTCCTAATGAGACGTCTAAGGTCATTTTGGTCCAGATTGTCCCATTCCTGTTGCAACGCAGCAGCAAGTTCTTGGACATTGGCAGGACGTTGTTGACGTTGACGTAACCTCTGTCCAAGCATGTCCCAGACTCAGTGCTGGCCAAGGTAATGTGGTGATGTTCTGTTGTTGGAGGTAACCTGTAACGATCCTGGCCCTGTGACATCTTGCGTTGTCATCCTGGAAGATGAAACGGCGGCCATGACGTCGTGCGAACGGCACAACATGGACTGCCAAGATGTTGTCCCGGTAGTACTGGCCTGTAACACGCCCTGCAACAACATGTAAAGCCGTTCTTCCAGCAACAGTGATGCCTCCCCACACCATAACAGAACCACCCCCAAATCGATCATGTCTGATGACGTTAACGTCTTGGAAGCGCTCGTTCCGACGACGCCACACCCTCCTACGTCTGTCCAAAAAAACAACAGTGAACCTTGACTCATCTGAAAACATCACATTGCTCCAGCGTCGATTATCCCAGTGTTGACGATCCCTACACCAACGACGTCTTGCCTGAATGTGATGATCTCTTAAACAAGGGATCACGCGAGGACGTCGGGCGCGAAGGTGACCCCTATGCAGTCGATTCCGAATCGTCTGGCCACTCACTCTCACACCAGTGTCTGTTTGAAGACGAGCGCTGATCTGATTTGCTGTGATGACACGATTTCTCAAGGCCAAGGTACGGATAAATCGATCCTTGGCTTGAGTTGTCGCCCTTGGTCGACCTGAGCGTGGTCTGTCCTGTTCAGATTGTGTATCACGGTATCTGGACCATAGCCTGCTTATGACAGACTGAGAAACATTCATCGTCCGCGCCACAACCGCCTGTGTTGTGCCGATCTGTAGCATGCCAAGGGCACGTAACCTTTCATTTTGGGTAAGCTGACGCATATCAAAATTTGTTTTCTGGTCACTAAAACAATTAAACTGATGTTTCCACCCTGGAATTCAATGCCACAATGACTGTAACATTCAAAGTCAGAGTCGTGCAAATCTTGGGTTGGACCCCCATGATAATCCCAAGCATCACCTGCATTCCATGCGGTAGCTATTGGTGCGTTTGGGCGTCACATGTAACTGGAAATGTTTCTTCTGTTAGGTTCTATAGTGACTTTTTTCGTAGTCATTTGCATATTTTAGTATTATGCCCCCAAAATCAAATATCCCCTACTTTTTTTGAATAGTATATATATTACACTACTTATATAAAGAAACCGTTTGTTTGTTATTTCGCTATGGAAATCAAACAGTTGGACTTATTCATTTTAAAAAACTTTATTCAATTTGTTTTACAATAAATTAAAGATTGGTACCAGTGTCCAAAAGCCCAACGCGTACGTAAACAAAACTTAGTTTCTGGTTTTACCAGGAACTTGAGTTTCGCCCAACTAATCCATGATAATATCTCGTTTACAGCGATTCTCTTTTATACAATAGCTGCTTTTTATCTGGTATTGACCTCTAGTTGTAATTGGTCACGCAATTATCAAAGAAAGAGTGCGTTTCAAAAGCTATCAACTTAATCGACGAGGTTTAAAGTTCATTTCAACATGACAAAAAACAATTAACAGGAATGTTCATTTCATTTATTAATTAGGTTAGCATTTAATCAGAAGTACAGAATACATTTGTACTAGTGTGTGCTTGTAGGCAGGCTAGTCTCGATCTGTGGCGGGGCGGTGGGAGGGGCGATATCTTGAACTACAATAATGTCCTCCGATATTGGAGGTTCCACACTATACATTGCTTGAAAGGCATCACGGAAATCGAGTTTGTATTGCAAATGGGAAACTCTAAATTTATACCAAAAAATACTTCCAGTGTGTTTTGTAATGAGGCGGGTGTGGGATGGGTGTATCTATCCACAAAGGCGCATTACTGTACGCGGGGCGGGGCGGGGCGAAAAACATCATAGACCATTAAAACCTCAAAGAAAAGGGATCATTTACCCTTTGTTATTGGTAGAACCGCACCCCTGCACTAGTTCAGCTCTGAACGTAGGTCTCATTACACTCGCCCTGTACGTTCGGGAACCGCCCTGTTGAATCCTTGTCGAAAAACTTTCGAACCCCAGCCCAGTCAATTTTAATTGGCAACTTTTTGCTAAACGGTCGCGTGTCAGTCGCAAGAGAACGCCTCTACAATGTAAAGGAACATTTTAGTGAGAAAATAAGACCTTGCTTACCTTGCTAGAGTCATTATGCGCGATACATCATGCTGTTAAAAATACCCCCCCCCCCCTTCTGCTAAGCGGATTGGCAGGAGCCGTTAAAATCTAAATAATAGGGTAACGCACACATTTACATAACTGGGCCATATAAGACGAAACGAAATTTCAGTAAGCAGGTGAAACAAAATTAGATTGTGATAATGCTAGCTGTCTGTTTACTAATTTCAGTTTCTTATTCGACCCACCCGATCAACTGCTCAAAACAAATTTAGTTATATATCCCAATATTCGCTTATGCGCGAAGGAAAACACTAAACATAAAATTCAGTTAAATCGACACTTTTATTTCTGACCCAAACGAAGTAGGTCGCGTCCTTTAAAAGATTAAAATTATTGTTTTATGTTGTTATTTCTATGAAGGAGATTTAAAGGCAACAAGTTCTACCGACACCACAGGGAAACGAGGAGACCTTCATATCTAAAGGCACAATATATTTCATCGATATTGATTAATATATATACCTCCATAGAATCTATAACCCATCAAAATGGCTGACACTAAAGTAATATAACAATCCTGGATCCATGTTTTACGATTGATTAATGTGTTTGTAAGTGGGGGGTTTGTACATTTAACAGTAAGTATTAATTTACATCAATGCATGATATTCCCAGATATTGATTTGAAAAGTCAAAAAATTATGGCAGTGATTAAAGATGCATTATGTAAGAGCTAAACCGACCTATTGCGGGTCTATATCTTGGCTTCAAATGTTATATAAACTATTATTTAGGCATTTATTAACATGGCAAGCCTATAATCAACTCCCCAGACTATCGGTTGGCGGAGATTCAAACGGATTAAAACATGATCGCCATTTAATGATTTAATTTAAACATGTCTCGAATGACAAGTACCGTAGTTAGATAATGAATAATCTATGTCACATTTTTGTCAAAATTTCAAACATTAATAACAAGTAATTTGAATGAAATTTTAAATACATTCAGTTTGCATTATCTATTTTTGAACTATCATAGCAAGAGGGGCTAGCTCTTAATCTAAATCTTACATAATGCATCGTTAATGAAACCACATATACAATCTTTTTGCCACACGAAAAGTGTAAACGTTTCGCGTTGTTATTGCTATGGATACTTTTATGTCACTGTAACACATTCGACTTTAAGCATCCAAGCATAGTTCTCGTCAACGTGACACCAAGCGGTGATAGAATACACAGGAGATTTCTTAGTGGGGTGTTTGATTGTGAAGAATCCAAATCTAAGTTCACTAGACATTTTTTTTTTTACGAGCCATGCTGATTTTGATTTCACGGAGGACCGACATGTGAACGACCGCCATTAATTTGAATCCGCCGAGTTAAGATCACCATGTGGATTAACAGATTGATATTGGCCTATCTGGCTTCGGATTTTAACCAATTTAGGAACAAAAGGTATGGATTCTGAATCTGAAAAGAATCATGACTTATATTCACAGCAATCAAACACACCTTCAGTGTTGAATTCACGTAGACAGAGTATAAAAAACAAACGTCTTAAACAACCCCGTGGTTTCTAGCGAACTTCGTCAAGATGCGGTCATGTACAGCTAATTCTGGTCATGAACGGTGCATTCGGTGACAAACGGTCCACAAATGCGCAATCTGTCATGCATGCTGTTAATAATAACTGTAGCAATGGAGCAGGGAGAAGCCATTCTCAGAGTTCTGATGTTTCCTCAATTAATGGAGAAATTCTATTATTCTTTGATGGACGCAGAGAGTTTGATTTTTCGGGATATTTTCGCTTTGAATTGTCAGGCTGTACCGCTTTATTCAACCATTTACTATTTTTCTTTAGTTCCACCGATTGTTTTGCGGATTCAATGACAACGATAGCATCCTCCTGAGATTTGTCAGAATCTCTAGAATTCGGTCGGTTTTTGTCGGCATCGATTCCAGAATCCGTAGAGGTATCCGACTGAATATCAACAAATGTACAATGTCTTCCGGTCAACCAGAAAGTTTCCAATATCTGATCCTGCAATGAAAATGAAATCAACAATGTTTTAAAAATGTATACAGACATAATTTATAATCTACAGCAACAACAATTGACACCTTAGAAACATTAGTTAACACGAGAAAGAGCTTCCCCAATTAAACATTTCAGGAGGGTTATATAATTTTTAAAAAGTCAGATTCTGTTGGTAAGGGGCGCAATGAGAGATATTTTTGTTTTAACTGTGCCCACGAGACTCATCAAAATCTCGCCCTACAATTAGTGTACTTTTATTTTTTAAAACACAGTTGATATCAATCTGATTAAAATACTGATCTATATTTCTTTTCGTTTTTTTATACTTTCAATGGCCTACACTACATGAAGATCTGACCGGTTGTAGTGATAGGTCGCGTCAGAGGTCATACGAGCGACTTTTGACCCTATGATGTCAGACATTTGATCAACTAATCAGCATTGATGTTTCTAGTGGATTACCCACACCAAACGCGAAAAGCTCGCTGTAACAGACCGCTTCATTGGCTAAACCCTCACATCACCCATAACACGCCAATGATAACAACCCTTCCAGATCCTAGGGTAGTAAAGACAAGTAAAACGAAATTTTGAACTATAAAAAACGAAACGAAATAGGATCTGTGTTTTAATCAGATTAGGTTGATAAAAGAGAACGCATCCCCGAGACACGACATTTAATAACCATATATTAATTTTATCTCAATAGCCACAACTAAAATTCCAAGTATTCGAATATTCGATTCCATTTCAATGATCAGTGTTGGATTGTTTTGGACCCTTGTCAGATTACTTGACAATGCGATCTTTAAAATCAATATATTTCTTTTATAGCTGTTAACTTCTTAATATTAGTAGCCAAACAACTAATCAAATTCCACTAGTTTCCAATTCCATCAAATAACGAATATCAAAAATCGGATCGAATAGTTTTGAAAATCTATTCGAATGCTAATATTCGAATATTTGTGTGAGCACTAATATTTTTAAGGCTGTATAATACAGAGATGCTACGTAAAAAGCTGCACTACTTTCAAGACTAGTCCAATCTTTGCAGGAAACAAGACATTTGTAAATGCATCAATTATTAATAACTAAACACAAAGTATGCTTTTAATCAACTGCTGTTTTAACATTTCGTTTGTAAGACCGGATGTAGGTGGTCTATATTGTTTCGTCTAGCCAGGTGCATTACTTAATAATCTTAAAATAATCGTTAAAAGGCTTTTACAATTCCATCATACAATTCCGTTTGAAAACATAAGATGAAGAAGATTGAAAATTTAGCACCTAATTGCACGGGTGCTGAAGTTCATTTGAATTGACCCTTTTCTGTCGTTTATCCCACAGACTAGAAGATTATAAATAACCCAATGACAATAGAGGTTACAGTTTTTATTGGATTTTTCTGAAATTTCCAGGAAACTCGTATAAGACGAGTATCAAAGATATTTGTACAAATGTAAACTTGAAATAGTTTCATCATAATTTTGGTACGGCCTATCTCTAATGCGTAGGTCCATTTTTTGAAATATTTTGGGCGGTCTTGCTTATGTAAGAAGCTATTTCTGGTTCAGGCTTTATAACGACACGAGAAGCATAATTGAAAGTTGGCTGTATTAATTTCAGTAATTGTTTACCGTAACTTTATTGTTTTTATTTAACAGGGAAAATATAGCATTCCCTCTCCATGCGACCGCTGCCCTCCCCTACAGCAGTAATTTAATGGCGTATATCAGAATGATATTTCAATATATAAACTTTACCTGGAAAGACATATTATTGGCTTCTTCTACATCAAAAGTTGAACTTTTTTCAATCAGAGAATAAACAGTGTTTGTAATCAGGCACTTTTGGGGTTCAGATAACTTTATCACATGTTTTACCATCTCCACGGTCTCACCTAAAGCCACAAATTTAGGAGCTGCTGTGCCCAAAACCCCCGTTACTACACTACCAGCATGAGCAGCTATTTTAAATTCAAATGGTCTATCTAGATTAGAAGGGTGAGGAACTTTGTTTTGGGTATTTAGTAAGTCTAAACAAAGATGGGGAATCTCTTCGGCACGTTTCAAATCGTTTTTAATCTCGTGGTTTAAGCCAACTGTCACGGTGAACGTATCACCTTGTAAATTTGTACGATATGCGTCGTAACGATTAAAGATCTTCTCCAGTTCACTGTGGGTATCATTAAGATACACTATTATATCCTGGGCGGATGACGTCTCCACCAAGTCTTTCATATTCACAATCTCAACTAGCACCACCCCTAACATGGAATGTATCCGCGTTTCTATGGTTTCACCGTTTGACAACTTATTCACAAGATGTGGCGGAATCGCATCTTTTAGCATATGTTGAATGTTAGATTTCGCCACAAATAATTCCGAAGTCCTTTCTTCAATTCGCGACTCTAAATGTGTCGTGTAATCCTCCATGGCTTCCATCATACTGTCCAAGACAGACTTTCTTGTCGTCCGACATTGCCGCATCATTTTGTTCATTTGCTCAAAACTTGGACGTGACGTGGCTGTTTCGGACCACGCTATTTCCATGATTTGTCTAACTCTAATAGGCGTATCATCAGATGGTTGCGGTCTTAGATTATTATTGAGGATGGCTTTGATAACCTGATCCGGCATTATCAAACCTGCGTGTTCCGCATACGGATCCTCCCGCGTGAATATTTCTTGTAAAATGATTGCGAAACTGTATACATCGCCACTAGGCGCACAAGGCAGCTCCAGGTCAGAACGGAGAACTTCGGGTGCTACCCAAAAGTCACGAAACGCTGCTTCTTGTTTGCCGATATCATTAGCGTCCTTATGGATGTAAATGAAAGGGTTCTTATTGCTTTTAACATGTTGTAAGAGTCTGATATATTCCCAGTCCCCTATTTTAACCGTCCATCGAGAGTCTACAAAGCAATGGGTTGAAGTCAGATGACCGTGAACAATACCTAGCCCATGAAGAAACGCCATACCAATTGCTATATCAAAGGCCAATGAGAATTTAAAATCGTTATTTAAGGTATATTTAGCATCTTGAAGGATGTCTGTCATGGGACCTTTACCACAATATTCCCCAATTACATATCGTTCGCCATCCAACTCACTTAAACCAAAAAACCTGACCACGTTCACATGCATCACCTTGTCACGCAGCCACAACATGTCTCTCTTCATAGCTCTATTAATCATTTTTAATTCCTTGACCTCCAGCAACCGAATTCCAATCGTGTTCCCGTGTAGCTTCCCCGGCCATTGAAGTATCTGAAACAAAATTTCAGACCCTTCTGGGATGTCTTCAATGGATTTTAAAGATTTTATGGACCTCATGCCAAGTAGTTTAGATTTTCCACTAGAGGTGGCTTTGTCGTCGAAATAAAACACGATATCTTCAATAGGAATGTCCCATTCATTATTATCAATCATTTTATTTAATCTGTATTTCTGAAGTAGAATGTATCCTAAAAGGCCAAATATGAGAATAAGAAACAAAGGCACACATACAGCCACGGGGATAATCCACGTATTATCAACTTCAATTTCATCCTGTTTGTTGGCTTCCATCAAGGCCCAAACATTTTGACCATGACACGTCATTTTCTTTAAAACTTGATCTGTGACGCGATCAATTATCTTTTGGGATAAGGGTGCCATTTTACTATCCTCACAAGTTTTTCGAGCCATTTTTTCCGTATTAAACCATTCAATATAACGCACGAGTTCCCGAGCAGATTCACAGCTATCCATAGTGGTCAAATGTACTATGAAATAAGTGTATCCGGCCATAGGATAAGCGTCGTCATTATCACCATCCGCTAAGCTAGTCATAAGCGTATGCGTCACTTCCGCTGCATAATCCATGGCGCCTTGTACAGCACTGCTTGTTGGAGATACATATTTTCCCCGTCTATTCTCAACCACGGCGTATTTAATTTTCTGAGCATCCGCTTCTGCCACGGATAAATAACCAACAGAATATTTAATAGACGATATAAGACCGGACATGCCGCCATTTTTATTGCCATACATAAAAATAGCATCTGCCTTCCATTTCTCGGGTAGATCAGTTGCCGTATCAATACCCTCTGCAAAAGTGCCGTAGGTATTATTCCATGCTTCACTAAAGGCAGCCAAACCTTCTGTGAATATTTCCGTTGTGCCTGACTTATCTGCCCTTGCTATCACCTTGATTGTTGCATTAGGCATCACACAATTGGGGTTTTTATCTATAAAACTTGTATCGTTCCAGTTTCTAACGGTACCATTAAAGATTCCAACTATTTGATATCTTGTCAGATTTAACCGTGGACTGCAACCAGGAACATTGTACGCAATCACCACAGCTCTGAAATTAAAACAAAAACAATTAAGAAAATAATTGAAAAACAAATTCACATTTGATTCAACAATTTATATTATTCTCTTGTACCCAGGGGTCTATATAATAGACCTTAAAGATACATTATGGGAGATTCGATAACGAGTTGGCAGTTCTCACTATAATAGTTAAAAACTAGATGATGTAAAAGTAATTTGCTGAAAATTTCATTCAAATTGATCCACTATGAACCGAGAACTAAGCGTTGAAATTTCAGGCTAGCCGTGATTATCATCACTAAAGTCAGTACAATAAACAGCATAGTCTCGATTATCCATTTAATCGTTAAATCGTGAAGGAAAGTTATGCAGTAAATGGTCTCATAAATCCACTACAGATCGCAGGCTAGCGATGCCATCTAGAGTTGATTATGATCTGGATAGGTTAATTAATGTCTAATTAAAAATTTAGATAACATTTCAGGCCTTAAGAAAGATCTGCAATAGACAGATTTAGCTCTTGCATAATGTATGTTTAAGGGACATCTGAGTACTAAGATAAACCTGACGAGGGTGGGCAGGCAACCGTTCTCCAATTTACAAATACACACAGATTGAACGTGTGACAAGCCTGATGATGTACAGACGCGTTATATCACTCGGACAAACTATCGTTCCATCTACCTGTAATAACCGATGTCATGCACAGCGCAGTTATAGAACATCCGCTACAAGTTCTATTTAGAGTAGTTCCCATGACTTATACAGGATAAAACAGAGAGGGTCCAATGCTACTAATTAAACTCTCGATCACTATTAAACTCCACCATTATTTATTTAATAAAATCGTGGTCTAAATTGATTTAGTTGCCATTCTGATTTATTGTAACTATGTTCTTATTATTTTTTTTATCAAAACATTAGGAACGGATTTATTATTAAGCCATACAATTGACATTTTAAAAGCCTAGAAACTAATACAATCAAATGAATGTCATAGTGTTTCTAAGCGCAGCTGGGTTTCTTTATTAATATTCTATAGTTTGAATTCATTGAATGAATCAACTGCATGAATTAATATTATGATATATTACATATACAAAAAATATAATACACAATGAGTGTACATAAACAATTTATAATTTAACGTATAAAAGCTCTTAACAATGATTTTGTTTGTTTTCTCATGTACACGGATCCTCATCAATTAATTATTTTGTTTTTATTTTCCATATCCATAAAGTCGATAAATGTCAGTTTTAAATTTCTATATTTGAACCAATTTCAGGTAGATAGGATATTCTTATTGTCGACTTTATGTAGAGGTTCTTCATCCGGGGGGGGGGGGGTAGATTGCAGACTTTGGTACACAAGTAAGACAAGTTAATAGAACTAAACAAAGACGCGCAAACCTGGATAAAAAAAAATAGTTCTTGTCGTCCGGTTCTAAGCGGACAGCCACTGTCATGTATTGGTGATCACCCTAGAAATTTTAGCCTTTAATTTGGTTCTCTGTATATTGTCTATAATATTCGAAATTAAAAACACGAAATGGAATTCAATATTGGTCCATTTCGATCAATATTGATTCCGTTATCTTGCCGTGAAAATATTCGATCCGTTCGCAATTTCGATATGTGTGATTGTTCGGCTAGGAAAAAAAAGAAATGGGGTTTAACGTCCTACTATTCTGTACCGACTGGGCAACTGAAGACGTGGTGGGGGGGGGGCTAAGAAGGAACCCTATCGAGCGCACTGCAGGACCGGGTCTTGGGAATATGCTGGGATCGCTTGGCTAGTCGCACATCAACTCTATACTGAGTGAGGTATTGCCCCTGTCCCAAAAAACATTGTAAATCACGCTTCTTGTCAGATTTCAGCACTTATATTTTTTATACATTTAAATAAGAAAAAATAACATGATGTCACTGATCGTACATCTGATGAATTCACATGGTTATGGATCCACTATAACATTTCGTGCTTCTGGTACCTCCATGTTAATTACTACACCGTGTTTACTCTAGAAACAATATGGCGAGTCTACAGGTAAGACTGTTTTATCAAGTGTGTTGTTACTTGCCTACGGCATGCCTTATAAATAATGTGCGACTATTAAAGACTATGCTAGTCGAATGTTAGATCAGCAACTAGAAGGCAAATAAACATCTTGAATTCTGTCAATCAATATAACTTATATGTCAAGCCCGGGGGTTGTCAACAAACCCGCCAGTGAATTGTTTGGGATTTAAAAAATATTTTTCAAAATACATATTTGGTTGTTAAGCACGCTTAAGATGGCACTCATTAAGGGTCCTGTTTCAATATGTATAGTCCACTAAAGTTTCAGTTATTTGTAGGTTTTGGTTAATCAATACATGTATGTATTCATCCATCATTATGTCCAAGCGTCCTCGAATTTTCGTTCCATACTAAGGATGAGCTAGATAAACATCATTGTCATCCCCGCGACGATTAATCGAGTTTCAAGAACCTTTTCTATCACGGTTTGTGATAAATGAAGTAACCGGGCATAACCGAACTTGAAGAACTGAGATTTCTTCTTTCTCTATCCCATACACAATTCGGACTTCCGTCTCTCTCTACATTGTCCACATTATATTTTTCACACTGTCATAAGCCTTTCTTAATCGCGCTGTATAGTCTTGAACCTTCGCCATCCTGTGCTATCTTCAATTGTATTGAAAACATACGTTTATCTTCTTTATTAGTGATAGGGGTGGGGGAGTGGAATGGGCCTCATGCGTGGAAAAGCCGAGTGCCTCTCTTCATCTAAATTCGGTACTGCTTCTCTAACTCTAAAGTAACCTTTCTAGTCCCATCCCAAGGGTCCATGCTTACAGAACCCAGAGTTATTTCTTTATCCCCGGGGATTGGGTGGGGGCGAATGGTCTAAGTGACGTGGTTTCGATTCCCTGCCTGTACGTGACAAGTTAAGTAGGATCCCTTGTCCAGTTTCGTTGGTTTTCTCCGGGTGCTCCGGTTTCCTTCCATAGCTAAAGTCCCCGACGCGAATTATTGAAATAAAATTGAACCATCCGTTGGCCCTGAACTGACCTAGTTTGTATCGAGTGGACGTTAAACCCCATTTATCTCTCTCATCTCTATCCTCATCATTGGCCAGAAAATAGCCGAATCCATCACTGGCAAACCGTTTGGGTTCAAAAAATATATTTTAAAATGCACGCTTTTATAACGCAGATTGTTTGTAAAAGCCCTTGGTGAAAGCAGCTATGTTTAGTTTGGTGAATTATATGGGGAATTCTCAGACTTTAAATAAGTGGGTACACAGTGACGGATCATGGCGAGGGTAATAGATGCAAATGCCTAGGGGCCCGGCGATTTGGTGACAAAGAAAAAAAAAATATTTTGTAGACAAAAATAATGAAGACCCATTTTCCAAAAAATCGTGAAACATAGTGGCCTTTTTTCGCTGAGTAATTAAATTTTTACGTTGGGGGACACCAATTGGCATTATCGATTCTACGCTGGGTGGGTTGGCAGCGGGAAGTTGATCAGAAATGTTTCCATAACCCGAAACCCGAAATATTATTTATGGTTGACAGACAGCGGTCTTGTTAGTTGCCCAATATTGTCATCTTGTTACTGGGGCCCGACGACCTCATGATCCGTCACTGGGGTATATCATGCGCTGTAAATCATACCTAAGGCTTACTCAGTTCAATCTCCTGGTTGTACGTGACAGTGAGTGGAGTCACCAGAATAATCCCGATTGGTTTCTCCAGTCTTTCTCCCACTTCCAAAGACCCAGTTAGAGTTGAATGGTTGTATACTCTCTCTATACAACACAACCCGAAATATCCGAAGACTAGCGCTATCTGATACCATCAGAGTAGACAATAGATTGTACATAAAGGGCCGTAGGAAGGGATGGGTTGACGCGCATATGGGAAAGAGACTAATATTATCAAATTAACAGTTACTTACCCAGCCATTGTAGGAAACATAACCAGATCCGGATCTTGTTGTGAATCAGATGCCGACAGTCGGGAATCACTTCCAGCATACTCTATATCCACATTTGCAATAATTCTCTTTTTACCCGTACCACTTCCCACAGGGTCATAATTCAGGTTCAGTGAGATATGTTGTTGTCTGTATGCTTTATATGACGGAATCCAACTTTTGTAAACCGGGTCGGGGAAACTAGCACCGGCACCTCTTAACTGAATTTCAGCACGTACCGCACTTGAAAGATAAAGTGCAATATAGATACTGACAAATACGCCACTTTCCATTTTCTAAAGTAATCTCCGCTGTTTATTTAGTTCAAATTTCGTTTGAATGGTAAATGTTACATCCTTCAAATTCCAGAGGACTTGTCAACGAGTTTGTCAATTTATTTTCTACCAAATTCGATTTCTCGATTTAATTACATTCTTTTCGACAATACCCCATTTTTTTCACAACTCCCATAATATCTGCTCTGTCGGGCAATCTTTTATGCCCAAAGAGATTTAAATTCATCTGTAGCTTTTCTTTTATCCATTAAAAAATCAAATTCATAAAACACATCCGAGAGTATGAGAATGTCTGCGATAGCTCACTAACTGTCTCTCGGAAGACACTAATTCCTGTTACCACTTCGTTTCTTGTTAACGTCAATCACTTATGATGTTCAATAGTTCACCCCTTTTTACTGTACACGTTTTCCAGTATGACAGACACAGCCTGTGAATGATATATCTCGTCATATTGATCCGCAACATATTATAGACCCAGAAGGTGATAACAGTCATGTTGCGTCAATCTGAAATCAAATAATGAACAAGAAAATGGATTAATTCACAATTTAGAAAGAAAAGCACGGTAAATTAATGAGAAAAACGTATATTAAGTGCCATAATCTGACAATTAAATAAAATAGTCACGGAACTGCCTGGAAACGGTTAAACAAGATTATTGAACAACAATTAGACTAACTTCCGGCTATTTAATTATTATTAATAATAAATTAAGTTCCATTGAAAACACACGTGCAAATTTTGTGGATTTTGTCGAAACCATGTTTAAAAAAAACCCCACCAAAACATTAAAGGGGCATCAGGTAAGATTAGATAAAGAGCTGACCGTTCTCGTGATACAATAATTGTGTATTTTCGGTTGTCATGGTTGCCGTTGTTACGATCATAAAGAGAGTCTCGATTATCCATTTATACGGTAAATCACCATTGCTACCATTGTTACGATAATAAACAAAGTCTCGGTAAATCATCAACAGCAAAACATATTTAAATCTACCTAATATCGGCATGGGCGTCACACATGGGGGTCCGGGGGGGGGGGGTCCACCCCCCCCCCAATTGTTTTTCGGGGGGGAGGGGTCTGAATATACTTGGACCCCCCCCCCCCAAAAAAAAAATAAAAAAATTACATAGTAGGCCCAAACTCCTATTTATTTACAACAATTATTAGGATTAGTTAAGATTCTATCTGTATAAAACCTGTACATATCCCAATATGGTTTATCCTGCTAAAATAAAACACAGAGATAATCATCCTGGAAACATGTGTGAAGTGAAAAGTACCTGTGTTCCATAAAATTGTATCTAGTTATAGCCTGTCAGTAATATTTTGTTAATTTTTTTCTGCCACTTATCATGTGAATCGCATGTAGGTACCCAAAAACATAACCGCCTAAACCAAATATTTATCGCCCGCTCAGCCAGCAACGTAACCATAATGTTTTTCCACGCGGTGTCTTGGTAGACAGCATGGCCACATGGTGTTTGTTTATATTTTTTACGGGCTTTAAAAAATGGGTTAGGGTTAGGGGTTAGGGTTGCGGACCCCCCCCCCCCAATATATATTTCACGGCTACGCCTCTGAATATAGGAGCCATCCGATGGCATCGAGAGTTGATTACCGGCTTGGTAAATTAATTGATGTCTAATTAATCATTTATATGCCATTTAAGGCCTAAAGAAAGACATGCAGTGGGCAGTTTTAGCTCTTGCATAATGCGTGTTAAAGTGTGTGGGTACTTTTTTAAATTTTGGCCCCCAAAATATCTACACAGATCCTTAATGGGTTTGAAAAACACTGACTCTTGAAAACACCATGCTGAGCCAAACGAGCTTGCAATTCAACAAATTTGATCTCTCCTAACAATTTGGTTAACTGGAAAAGGATTAACTGTACAACATTTTTCAGCCAAGCATATAACATCAGCCTTAACTGATCGTTGATAATAATCATTTTCTTATTCCGAAGTCGACGGAAACTTTCAACGAATGGTTCTTTGGATCAGAGAAAAGCCGTAGAGTAGATTATGTAAAAACCGCCTGTCCGTCCACCCTCGTAAAAGTTAGAGACAAAGTGGGTGCTCGAATGAACGTTGCGGAATTGGATTCTGTCAAACCCCAAAATGCGCCGACTGCATGGGAAAAAATTGCAACTAACCATGACAGCTGAAACAAATTCGTTGTGTTCTACTGACACCACCTCTGTTGTTGGGACTGATAGAACTGTGACAGGACTGAATTCCGCGTCACTCAATTGCAATTCTGTCAATGAGCACCCCCTAGCCGAACCAATAAACAACTGCTCGTCGCTCTGAAATTTGTATGTGTTTGAACAGACAGCGCAAGTTAAACTATCGTAAGATCTTACAAAGTTGCGACCCCGATTTTGGCGAAAATATGGACACGGGATCGAAAACCTTCTATCCGCCAGCCCCCCCCCCCCTTCCGGAACATTAAGAGATTAACTATACCAATAAAGAACTGTTAGTCGCTTTGAAATTGTATACAATCGCTCTGTATGCGGAGCAATTATGTATTGTAACAGTTAACGGATATTAAAATATCACGTGATCTTATAAATTGGGGGGTCACCGATTCGACGAAACGTGGACATGGGACCGAAATCTAGGAACCGTCGTCGGCAAATTGCGTGTGCGCTTACACACCTTGCGGCGATTTCGACAGCCTGGCTGATTGTCTAATAATCATTGCTCTTTTCTTTAACGCCCGTGTCATTTTACACTAAATGTTCCTTTTCCATCCTCAAACGGCCAAACTCTGCATTTGAAAGCGATGCATTTGAAAGCGATTGTATGTAACCCTAACAAAACATCTAGAATTTATCTGTTTTTCGCCCGAAACGCTCCCTCTGGTATAATAAAATGTTTTTTTGTAACATTTTTTAAACTATACCATTAACTATTCTGCAGATCGAGTAATCATTGCTTTATTCTTCATCTGAAACTTAACTGAAAACAAATTCGGTTATGTATCCCAAGGGTTTTGGATCTGTTTTGTTGTGATAGGTTCATGCAGTTAATACTTTTCATTTAGGTTTGGTACTTTGTGCACTGTTAAGGCATGTTCACACCAGAGTCTTAATATATAGAGATTGTCTTGTCAACTGTAGCCATGGTTGCTATTTTTCTACCCAATTTTAAAGTTTCCCCCCCCCCCCCCCACGATATGAAATTTAGTCGTTGATGGAATAGGGTTGGCGATTTTCCGAATTAAATCAATGAATTAGCAGATTGACACCCGCTCATCAGTGGTAAATTGCGGAGGAGCATGGTACACACACACCAGGAATATTTGAATTGAGTGAACGCTTAACGTTGCCATGTAACAATACTGCACGACATGTCATTGTAGGTCAGGTGTTCATGTAGGTAACGGGTGACAAGATCGGGTTGTACCTCAATGTTTATGAGTGATCACCAGTTTTTTGCCTGTTGCTCAATCTCTGTTTATTGAATAATATTAATTATGTTAAGCCTCTTTCAATTCAATTTGTAGCCGATAAAAAATTGGATTGTTTGAGACAAATAATCTTGAGTGTGCACAGGACTTTAGCTATTATGTTTATTGTTTTATTGTACAGATTGCCTCTTGATTGTAAGTATATCATTCAGAAACACTGAGAGAATACGTAATTAGGTTAAAGGGACAACGTGTCAGAAGGTGAATATTTAAACTTTATATTCTATGTTATGCTATTTTAATTTAAAGATGGGTCCCCGCGTACAAACTGGGTGATTTAATGGTATATATGGACTAAAAACATATTCAAACTAATTAATTTGTCATAATTATGCTTCAAATCCTTCTCAAACATTGTAATTGCGAAGGAATGCCCTGCTATTAAAATTCGATCAAACCAGGTCATGTTTACGTCACGTCTTTGGTGTCAGAGGAGAATTCATTGCATACATAAGACGATGTTGTCTTTAATCGCTTACTATTTATTACAAATATCGAATCCTAATTAAATTCTCGGATTATCCACTACCCCGCGTCTTTGTCCGTCATTTTTATCTGAGAAAGTATTGTACGTCTAACTCTTCATAAAGTTTATCAACTTGTACATCAAACGCTCAATGTTCGCTTGTGACCTTTGACATCACGCGTGCAGAAGTTCCTAATCGTCGGGCTGTTGATTAGGGGAACCCTTACATTTTTGTCCTGTATACGCTCCATGAGTGTTTTTCGGTGAATCCAGTATTTTTCTAGTAAGATTGGATATCTCTACTTTCCATATATATCAAAATTGCCATACTTTTATTGGAAATAACCACCCGATAAATACTTTTCTGGGAACCCATCTTTAACGACAATAGAAACAGTTATGGTGGACCCGGTAGTGGACATTAATTGTGTTAGCAATACTCTCAGAATGCTGGTTATGTACGACGTACCATAAAATGTGCGTAAAAGTATATTGTAAATAGTGTTGTTTTACTACTATATATAAGGAAGTAATGTTGAACTTTTTATTAGATAATACTTAAGCCCCCGTCAGACCAAAGCACGACCTAACGCGTTTAAGATTATTTTGAGTCGCGTTGTAAAGCTGGAGAAGCCTTGATCGCTAAGGTCGCCGCCAGGTCTTATGAATCGGGGGGGGGGGGCAGATCTTGTTGAAAAGACATTTAATCGATCTCTTTCCGACGAGTGACCGTGATGGTCAAGGTCGTGCTTGGGTCGCGTTGGGAGCGTTGGAGTGGTCTTTTTGCATCGCATTGGGGTCGCTTTCGGTCGTGTTAACGTCTGATTGCATCGCCTTCATCGTATTGAGGGCGTGCTGAGGTCTTCTTTGGTCATATCGACGTCGTGCAGATACCTAGCCTGTCGGTTCTGGAGACTAGTGAAAGCTAGTTCATCAAATTTGTAATGCGATTATACGCGACCTGCTCGAAATTGGATCACCAAACGTTTTAAATCTGGTCCGTGCATATAGCACTATATGCAGGATATGAAACTACACGCCTATTTCTTATCATTTCATACTATTCTGCAGAGGTCGTGATCGATCTGGACAGGATCTGTACAGTATCTGGACAGAAGTGATTTTGTCGTGTTGGGGTTGTGATTAGGTCGAGTAGGTCTTATCAAGGTCTTGTTGGATCTGGACGGGAGCGAGTTGGTCGTATCTAGGTCGCGTTGATCGTATTGGGGTCGTGTTCATGTCGTGTTGAGGTCGGATGTAGATCGAGTTGACATGTACCAGCGAATGATACGCTTATCTTACGATCCAACTCGACCTGAACACGACCTCAACACGGTGTACACGACCCCGGCACGCTTCTCGTTAGACTCGGAACAGATCTTGCTTTCGTAACGCGATCCACGCTCGACCTGGACTGTCACGGTCACTCGTCGGGAAGAGGTCGAGTTGATACTCCTTTAACAAGATCTGCTCCCGAGTCACCAAGACCCGACGACGACCTTCGCGATATTGATGACATTGTAACACTGTATATGGAGATTTCATTGTTGTATTTTATAG